GGTGAAATCCCAGACCCAGAGCATCCTTTTCCAAAGACCTAAGCACTCTTAGAAAGGAAAGGGCCGCTAGAAAATCCAATGTTAGTTTGAACGAATTAATTCTGCTTGCTTTCCTATTCATCTCAGTGAGGGTTTGAGTAAAGAGGTGGAGAAGGGGGTTGGTGATTTAGGTGCACTAGCTAAGTCAGGCTGACCCAGGTCAAGTGCAAGGGCTTGGCGCAAATGAAGGTTCAGAGACCTGGGGAAGAGGAGCCCTGAGGTGGAGAAGGGCCATTAGCATCCAGCCTCCTCAACACACGTATCACGGTTTCCCACTCCCCACCCGGAACTCGGGCTCCGATTGTCATTCAGCCTCCCCTAGGGTCAAACCAGAAACCCATAGAGGAGGCCTTGAGACTAAATGACCGTTTGTAACTTTGCGGTTGGGGGAAGATGCATCTTGGGTTCTAAACACTGACATAAACCTTAGGAGCATGGCTCTTTCAGCCGGGGTGTTGTCTATAATGCATCATTTAGACTCTGTGATTTTTTTGTTGGTGGGATTTATTCTGAGCGACCTGGCCTGGGGAGTTCCATCATCAAGCAAACAATCACTTCTCGCGCATGTAATTTGGTTAAGCCCTCAATGAGGCACAGTGGCTTTTATCATGTCTGCCTCACATCTTTATTTAGTCTGACTGATTAACTAACTGGCTCAAACCCCCTGCCTCTGTGGAGTACAGATAAACAAGGGCTTAACTGACTCAAGGGGTACCTTACAGTCTCCCACGGGACCGTGAGAGACGGGGAGTTCCTCTGAGGTGGTCCCGTCAGAGGGCTGTCTGCTGGGAAGCTGGAGGCTAAGGGGGAAAGAGGGGAGTCGGACTGCCCAGGTCAGGCACTGCTGGAGACAGAGGGCGGGCGGGGGGCCTCTGGGCCTCCGCAGAGGATCCTGCCTGTGCCCTGTTAAATAGAGCATCCTTCCCTTTTCCTTTAGTTTGTCTGCCAGCTCCCTGCCCCACCCCCCAGGAGAACCTAAAAGCAGAAGAGGGCAGAGGAGCAAAAGTGAAAGCCCAGCCCAAGTCCACTTGTCCATCTTTCTCTCCTTGGAGGGTCCAGAGAGCCTGGGCCAGGCCTGTGCCTCTGGAGGGGAGGACTGGAGGATGGAGATTTAAGCTGGACTGGACCGTGTGTGTGTTTGTGCATGTCTGCGTGTGTCATAAAAGTTTCAAGAAAGCCACACCCATGACACCTTATAATGTAAAAAAATGAGACTATATGTCTCCTTAATTTCTTATTGCTTTATTCATTTTTTAAAAAACTCTAAAAGGCGAGAATCCAGCCTGATATGTTTTGACCTTAAATCATCCACATGACTAATTATGAGGTTCGCTAAGAACAGTCAGAACATTGATATGAAAAAAAAAAAAAAGAGGAACAGTGATATGGTACTTGGAAATTCAGCCAAAAATGACTCCAGTTTTGCAGAGTGAGAATTTTAAAAGGTCCAGTTTATGACAATCTTTGTGTACCCTCAATGTTTTTGTATTGGCAAACACTATAGATTTCTAAAATAAGCATGAAGAGCTGTTTTTGGAAGCTGGCGTCTATGCACCTAGCAGTATCAGCTCATCTGTACACGTCATCCCAGCTCAGAACCCCAGAACTGTACTGCTGTGAAGAAGCTTGGTAGCTTCCAGACTGCCAGCCTCCAGGCCGGGAGAGCAAGGGTGCTGTGGGCTCACCATCTGGCATTACAGTGACTTAGATCAAGAGAACAGTAGACAGTTTAGATTGTTTGTCATCGACGCTAAACAAATTGGCTACTAGTAGGTGAGTTCTCCAGAGTCATCTGTCAGATGAACACTAGGCTACAGTCATGACCTAGAACTGTGCCTCTAATGTACCATCTAGAAATGAACCAGTTAATTTTACTGCTCAGCAAAACAGAAGACAGAACTGAAGTATCCATGGGCAGTAAGTCTAAAATCCAGGCTTTCCCCCTTGACCCCATAAGACCACAATTTAAAACCTACCGAATGCCAGTGCAGGAAACTCTACTGCAACCCACTCGTTCCTCTGTGTCTTTAAATAGTGTGTGTGTGTGTGTGTGTGTGTGTGTGTATGTAGTTTAAGAATGCTGGAAATTTCAGTTTTGTGAAAAATGAACAAAAAACACTTTGATATGCTATTTTAATAGTTGGAACTTAAGTTTTCAACAGTATTTATATATATATATATATATACATACACACACTTTGGCCACCTGATGCGAAGAACTGACTCATTAGAAAAGACCCCAATGCTGGGAAAGATTGAAGGTGCAAGGAGAAGGGGATGACAGACAATGAGATGGTTGGATGGCATCACCGACTCAATGGACATGAGTTTGAGTAAACTCTGGGAGTTGGTGATGGACAGGGAAGCCTGGTGTGCTGCAGTCCATGGGGTCGCCAAGAGTTGGACATGACTGAGCGACTGGACTGAACTGATACTTATATATACATATTTATATATGTATGTATATATGTATGTTATCATCTTATTTATTTTTGGCTGCGCTGGGTCTCCATTGCTGAGCGGACTTTTCTCTAGCTGCGGCCGCAGGGGGCTCCTCTCTAGTTCTGGTGCACAGGCTTCTCCCCGCGGTGGCTCCTCTTGTTACAGAGCATGGGCCCTCGGGCATGGGGACCGCAGGAGTTGTGGCTCCTGGGCTTTAGAGTGCAGGCTCAACAGTCGTGCTGCACAGGCTTCCTTGCATTCAGATCTTCCCGAACCCGTGTCTTCTGCTTTGGGAGGTGAATTCTTTACCATTGAATCACCAGGGAAGCCCTCGAAAGGATATATTTAACATCAACCATTGTCCTTTAGCATTTTTACTAAAAGTAGTTGATAAAGCACTTTATGTATAGAGTTTATTGACAAGAAGCCTATCATAAATATTTGTTTTCTTCTCCACATCCCCCCCAAAAAAAATAACTATAAGGTCAAAATTCCGAAGGAAGATTGGCCAGTTTTCCAAAACGTTTGAGAGAGTGAGTAGCGCCCGCCCCGGCTACCCCCAGCCCATGCTCTCCAGTGTTCACTGACGTGGGTGACTTCTGGCTGGGAAGAGCAGTGATGTGTCTGGACCCCCAGAGGGTGGGGGTGAAGGGCAAGCAGGGGCAGGACAAGGGGAGTTTATTGACCTTTAACATCCGTGGGGTTCTGAGGACACCACAGCTGACACTGATCCTCACTTCTGCTCCCATTTCAGCCCCAAGGTATTTTTAGGGCAAAGAACTTGAGACTTTCTATCCAAGGCTAAATTTAGTGATGGTGAAACAGGGAGTTAATGGAAACTCTCTCCCCACTCAAAACACATCATCAGGTTTGGGTAAAATGCTAATAGCACTTAAGGACGTGACAGTGAAGAGGGGAAAAAAAAAAAGAGGACTGGTTTGAAGGCTGGATCTGATCCCTGGCTGATTTCCATTTGGCCTGGGGGAGAAGCTCCCAGATCTGATTTGATTTAGGGCTGCGTGAATGAAGATGCAATAAGGTATTGCAAACATTTAGTGGCGATGCCCTGGATTAAAAGACGAAGACAGGATGGTTTGTGGTTCCCCAAGGTTAGACAAGGCACTTCAGAAAATCATCCTCGGGACCCACATCTCCCAGACTGTACCTCACAGGAGTACAAGCAAGGGGCAGGGCCCCTAACCCGTTTCTGACTTACTGCCTCCTTCAAGATGCCACAATATTCTGCTTCACCAGCTTGGGATAAAATTATTGCTCAAATTAGCCTCCAATTTGCCTGTCACTTGAACAGTTTTTCTTCTCTCAGTCGGGGCCCTCCCCCATAATAAATCCCAAACCTCAGAGATTGTCTTAATTCAAAGAGCCAGATTAGCGTTATCTTGGCTAGAGTCAAAATTCAGCTTCACCCCCAGGAGGTTAGAGGATAACTCCTAATTATCAGGTATTGGTTATTCCTTGCTAAAGGCGGCTGGGCTCCCAACAAGATCAGCTTTGTGACTCAGACCTCTGTTCACACACAGATGCACACACACACGCATGCATGCATGCATGCAACCTCCACTTCGCCAAAAGTAGCCCTTCGGTAGAATTCAAGCTGTGCTGGGGGTCCAGGTGACCAGCACAAGCCTGTCTGCCCCAACCTCCCCCACTCCCCTTTCCCCCAAGGTGATCTCCCCAAGGTCCCTCTAGTCTGAAGTTTTCCTGTCATCTGACCTCAGTGAGACAGCTCACCCTCCCTGAGATGTTTTATATGTTGGGTGACTTCAAAGAGGAAGGGGTTAGACACTTTACTGCATCTACCCTTTCAGAGACTCCAGAGATTTTATGCCAATTTGTGAACCTCTTCCCCACAAACTTTAAGATCCACCCACCAAAGTGTATTATACCCTTCCTCTGTAAACAAGTGATGCCTGTTTGCATTGACCTGCATAAAATAAAGGGTCATGCAAATGATTCTTCCAGAAGACCTGCTCCAAGATGACTTGCTGTCTCCACCATTAAGACCCTGCCATGTGCTCCTCCCAGTAAAATGATACAGACCCTTGTGAAGTGTGACCCGCCCCTCCTGAAAATCCTTTCTCAGAGAGTGTGAAGTGAGTAAAAGTCCGGTGGGGCTTTGGAAAGGCTATTTTTGGGGATTTCTCTGGTGGTCCCGTGGTTAAGAATCTGCCTCCCAACACAGGGGTCCCAGATTCCATCCCAGGTCGGGGAACTAAGATCCCACGTGCTGCGGGGCAACCAAGCCCACCCACTAGCAACTGCTGAAACATCGCCCCGAAACAAAAGATCCCACGTGTCACAGGGACGATCTCACGTGCTGCAGCTAGGACCCCACGAAAGGCTGTTTCTACTGGCAAACCCTGGTGGGCTCTCTGTGCCCTGCTCAGACCTCCACGCCATGGAGCGGACTCGGGGTGCTGGCTGTCCTGCAGTTCCACAGGCAGTGCCTTCGTCCTCTGCATTTGAGGAAATGAGGCTGGTAATGACCTGGGGTGACTCACTGTGACTCAATGCTGAAGCAGAGCATGTCGGCTTGGCCAGTGGGGAGGACGGGTTCCCCAACCTGAACCTTCCTCCCCTCCTTCAGGCCCGCCTGGAGTCCTCCCAGGTCTCTGATTCACATTTACCCTGGGAAGCCTCTAGTTCCCAGGAAAGGGAGTCTCTACGTGGATCCCACGCAGGGGCTGTGTAACCCTCTCCTGTTCCTCTCCAGAGGGCAGAGGGCAAGGGGGCCTGGCCTGGGCAGGTCCCCCCGCTCCCTTACTCTGCTCCTGACCCAGGCGGGCTCTCTGTCTCCTCTGTTCCCTCCCTCTCGGGTCTTGCCAGTCTGTGAAGCCAGGCCAGCCAGGCTCAGCCCCTGTCGGGAGAGCTGTAGGCATCACGGAGCCAGGCGCCGTTGTCAGGAGCTGCCCGGGCAGGCCGGGCCAGATGCCAAACTTCACCAACCAGTCACGTGCACCTTCCAGGAGTTTGCACCAACATGCTCAGATTGAAATTTCTCAGGGAGGGGGGCCCTCAACAATAGGCTCCATCTTGGGACTCTTTCTTTCAAAGCAAAGTCAAGGTGAGCGACCCTTCATCTGGGCTGTCATCACCACATGTAAACGCTGACCGCCTCTCCTCTAGACTAGACACTCTTCACGGGTTGGGAGGTGCCTTACTGTCCTTCATTTCCTCATCTAACACAGGTAGCATGCTTAGAATCCTGCCTCAGTGAGGTCTCAGTGGGTAACAGTCATCCTTGTCACAGTAAAGTGCACCCGGCATCTCATAGCGTGCCAGGCATGGGCAGAGCCTCAGCAGTCACTTGCTGAGTAGAAGATGTTACAGAAAACCCTGAGGACTCAGCCTTGCAGGACTGAGGGAGGCATGTTAGGAAGCAGTGGGCAATCAGGAGAAGGACCCCCAAAACCCATCGAATGGTCAGCCTAAGAGCCCAGCATTTCTTTCTTCACTGTTGGCCAAGGACTAGTCACAGCCCCATCTACTGTGACCCAACTTGCAGGGTCAGCCAGTATCAAACAAGGGCAAGAATTGCTTTTGTTCTTTTTTTTTTTTTCCTCCCTAGAAGGAGATTATGAGGGGCTGTTTCTTAGACCTATAAGAGGGGGAAATAAGCCTATAATAGCTAAATTAGAGACAAAGTACCCAGTGTACCTGATAATGAAGCTTGTGTTGCTTCAATTCAGAGATTTTGAATGAGGCTCTTGTTTGGAGTACTTTTCCTCCTGTGACATTTCCACTATTTTAAAAAGTTGAGGTTTCATGAGAAGTTCTCCATCCATGAGCTCACTGTCTCTTGGAGCTGTGTTCCCTGGCTGGGTACCACTAGGTGATGAGCAGTGGCTGATTAGGATTGCGTAAAGCACAGCGATCAGACTCACTTCAGGAACAGAACTCCAATCACAGAGGAACAAACCATTGAGTGTATGCCACAGGCTTTCACTGGCATTACGACGGTTTATTAAGACAACAAATACATCTGTTCACTTGCATTTCTGTGTATAAATGGAGACTATACACTAGTTACAGCAGAGGAGCCCCATGTTTTTGTCCATGAGAACTTTGAAGAAGAAAGAACTTCGGAGAAAGAAACTACTTTCTTTCTTCCCCTCCCCTCACTGAGATTCTCAGCACATCATAAAGGCAGTGTTTGCAAACTTACCACTTATAATGCATAAGCGTCTGAACTGAAGCAATACCAGCTTCACTGGGGCTTCCCAGGTGGCACTAGTGGTAAAGAACCTGCCTGCCAATGCAGGAGACAACGTAAGAGGCTCGGGTTCAATCCCTGGGTCAGGAAGATCTCCGGGAGGAGAGGATGGCAACCCACTCCAGTATTCCTGTCTGGAGAATCCCATGGGCAGAGGAGCCTGGCAAGCTACAGTTCATGGGGTCGTAAAGAGTCGGACAGGACTGAAGCGACTTAGTATGCATGCACGCACTCAAGTTTCATTACCAGGTACTCTGGATACTTTGTCCCTAAGTTAGCTATTATAGGCTTGTTTTCACCTTTCCTAGGTCTAAGAAACAATCCTCTTTTAGGTGGGAAAAAAGGCTGAAAGCAACCCTTCCCCATGTTCTGTACTGGTTGACCCTGCAGCCTGGATCACAGTAGACTGGGCTGACTGGTCCTTGGGCTACAGGCAGACATGGAAAGCATGAGTTCTGTTAAAAACAGAACTGGAGAAATGATCTTGAGCGTTCCTCTGTTCACCCGGGGAGTGGGGGGGCCCAGTTGGCAGCTATGCCAGAAAGGGAGAGGCATAGAGACAGGGCACTAAGCTGAAGTCACCAGGCAGCAGGTGTCCTGTGGTAGAGCAAGGCGGAGAAAGAGTGAAAAATGAGAGCGGAGGGGTCAGAGACAAATAAATAAATGGGGCTGGAAGAGTTGCCAGGAGAGGGGACAGGGGCCATTTTTTCTCTGAAATGACAGCTACTGAGAGCTGCTCAGGACACTAGAACATTTGTGGTTTCTCAAAGACAACAGGAACCTTCCAGTTCCAGGAGCCAAGTCTCAGAACACGGGCAGTTCCTGGGGTTCTCTTCCTTTGCTGTGTAGCGTTCTTATTGAAGGGCTGACGGGCAGTCCTATGCCCCAGGGTAGCTCCAGCACACCCGTTCTCCATCCCTCTGGGCAGAGCCTCAGCCTCCCCCATGAAGCGCCTGGATTCACTCTCTCCTTCACACAGCGCTCCGCGGTCAGCCAGCGCCCCGCGGTCAGCCAGCGCCCTGTGGCTGCAGGGGGTTAGGCTTGCACCCCAAATGTTGCAAACGAAGTGATGTGGCAGGTGCCTGTTTGAAGGAGTGGCAGAGTGAGGATGGAATTCAACCTGGAATCCTGGAGTCAGGGAGGTCGGGGGACTCTGAGGTCACAGCTGCTGTTCCAGCCAGAGCTTCTGCTGCTGTTCCCTGCAGACAGCTCAGGTCTCAGTGCTCAGCTCGGTTGTTCTCAGTTAGAGCTCACTGGGAAGTCTTAACAGTGTGGCTGAGGAGCTGTGGCCTCAGACCAGCTAAACCAGCATCTCCAGAGATTGGGCCGGCACTGGTATTTTTTAAATGCTCCCCAAGTGATTCTCACGGAGAAGGCAATGGCACCCCACTCCAGTACTCTCACCCGGACAATCCCATGGACAGAGGAGCCTGGTGGGCTGCAGTCCATGGGTTGCAGAGAGTCAGACACGACTGGGCAACTTCACTTTCAGTTTTCACTGTCATGCATTGGAGAAGGAAACGGCAACCCACTCCAGTGTTCTTGCCTGGAGAATCCCAGAGATGGGGGAGCCTGGTGGGCTGCCGTCTATGGGGTCGCACAGAGTTGGACACGACTGAAGCGACTTAGCAGCAGCAGCAGCAAGTGATTCTCAAAAGCAGCCAGGGTTGAGAACCCTCCACTCACCTGCATTTAAATGACTCTCTCGTTTCCTGCTAGAATCAGTTTCACCGTATCAGTTTCCACTGACATGGGCAACTCCTGTGGACAGAGGAACTCCTAGGAGACTAGGGCCTCCTGTTTGCCCTTCTACTCAATCCTTTTCAATTACTGAGATTCTCCTCTCCCCCCACCTATATTAAGCTGATACTTAACTATAGATAATAACTGTCTCAATCATTTTTTGTAAGTAGTTCTTATTTAAAAGTTTCAGTTTGAATTAAATTCTCCCACTCAGAGATTTCTGTTCGATAGTGGTTCAGAAGATGTATTTCTAAGATATTTTCTCCAGGGAAAACCATTTATTTGTCGACTGTTATGCCCGATGTCCGAATCCCCGAGCAGGAAGAGAGAAGGCCTTCAAGACAATGCAACTTGCAAAAAGGGAAGTTTATTGCTGACTCGAGTCAGGGCTCCTGCCGCATCCAACGCAGTGGTGCAGGGTCAGAGAGCCCCGAGCCCAAGCTGTTACACAAATTTATAGGGTGAGCACACACCGTTGGTAGTTGGTTTAAGCGGATTGGTTACAAGTTTGCAAAGCAATTTCATTGGTCAAACACACTCAAAACTTTAGCTCGCACAGGACTTTCCCCGGGGGTTTCCACCCCATTCCTAATTGGCAAACAGCAGTCAGTGTTAAGCTGATTGGTTGTATCCAGGTGGCCTGATAATCTTAGCACCCAGAAGTAGGAAGGCCTACTCCTAATCTAAGCTGCCTGCCATGGCGTTACTTCTGCTCGCCTCACATTGACATTATAGAATGTGTTCTCCTCTAGTCATGTAGGGTCCCTCCCTACACTTGAATGAACGGAGCTACTTGGTTATTAATGAAAATTTCATATCATATAGATCCTACATAGACAAAAAATAAAAGAAGTTTCCTCCTCTAACGTACTGTGTAGTACCTTTCTCTCATCTGAGCAGGAAAGATGGGGTTAGGTGCCTGATGACATTTTATTACAGTGAGATTTCGAAGCAAACAGATGCAGCTGAGCTGTCCCTCACTTTTCTTTCAATGTGGCTCACGGTGAAAACACTCGTGCCCTGCTTTGCTGGGAGTCTTGCAAGACCAACATTTGTCTTGTTGGTTGCCGGGGTCCAGCCCCACCAGGATCCAGCGGGTACCCTCGGGATGAACGGCGTCGGCGAGAGAGAGAGAAGACACGTGAGGCCAGCCTTGATAGGGCCAAGTCTGCGACGGAGAGAGAAAGAGAAAGAGAGAAGGAGTGACCAGACGGGGGGTGCAGCTGACAGAGTCTGGCAATGCTTTATTTTTACCATAGCTTTTATACCCTAAGTTAGTACATTTCTAAGGGGAAGATAGTTTAACATTGCGTCACCTTGTTCTTCACGAAACCAGGGTGTTTTCTGCATACTTCTTTGTTTATGAGGGTCTTGTACATTATCTTCTGGCCTTGGGGCCTATTAACATTTTATGCAGGTCAGGTGAATGTAAACCTATTTTCTGTTTCTCTGGTGACCTTAACTGAAAGGTAGCAGTCTCATAGGGCAACAGTACAGAGTAGAAGTATAACCTTGTTAACACAAAAATTAATCCTTCTGCAGAAGTTGTCAGTTGTGTTTATCTGAGTTTA